GGGGCGGGCCCCAGCCATTTAAATTTAAATGAAGCCGCGATTATTTTAATCGCGGCTTCATTTCCCTTTTCCGATCTGGCTAATCTACATGCCTCCGTCGAAGGAGGCATGTAGTCTAGACACACCCATGGAGTGAAGAGCAGAGGTCAACCCAGAGTTGGATTAAAAATATCAAAAACATTACTTCAGACCCAGGATATTTTACCAATCCGAGAATCCAGCCTTTTGGATGAAAAAATACCTGCCAAAATCAGCCCTTCGATTCTGCTGTCTCCAATGAAAGGCCACACTGACAAGAATCAGATTAGATACTCCAATGGAAACAAAGACACAGCAAAAATAATCACTGTAATAGCAGCAAGGTGGCCTTTTAACAAACGAGTGGTCTAGAGAACAAGAGACGGTGCGGGATTCTGCACCCTGTTTCGGCTATTTCAATACATTGTGATACCAGTTTGAGAAGCGGTATCTTTGAAAGACATTTGATGTTATCCTGTAACAGAAAACATACTAAGCAGACCAGAAAAAAGCTTCCTAACAACGAGGTCTATCAGACTGTGGAGGATTCCCCCAAGGGAAGATACTGTAGGAACAACCCTGCATTGGCCTTTGAGGATGGATTGGATCTGATTTAGCAAGGCAAACAGAGGTTTAACTCAGTAGTTCCCAACCACTGGTCTGCAGACCACTGCTGGATGTGAACAACTGGCTGCTGGGCCACGCCACACCCCCATGGCTTGATTGTTGGCTCGGCGGGATTCCCTGTAAGCTGCATGGCAGCATGGCCACACAGCTGCTAACTGAGCTGATGTGCTGTGGCTGGAGTAGAGGACACTGTCCCTACTGGGGCCTCGGAGCCACTGGAGGGCTGCTGCTCTGGTAACCAGGGCCACGTGGAGGGTGGCTGTTCCAGTGGCCAGGGCTGGTGCCACATGGAGGGCAGCTGCAGCTAGAGAAGAAGCTCCTGGGTGCCCCCACACCAGTCTCTTGCCCCACTTCTCATGCAGGTGGTGAGACCAAGGAACCAGGTGCCCACAGGCCTGCTCTCCTCACACTCACGCTAGTGCTGCTGGGCAGCTCCTTTCTCCCTCCCTCCCCTCTCAGCGGGAGCCTCCCTTGGCCTCCAGCTGCTCTCAGCCCAGCCAGTGCACATACACAGAGACCTGCTGCTGCCTGGCCACGCGGAGCTCTGCTTGTGGATCCCCTCGAGGGGCTGCTGGGCTGAGCAGGGGCTGCCACTACCCAAGCGGCTGGGGGAGAGTGAGGGGACAAGGTGTGAGAAGCCCTCCAAGTTGGAGTCAGTGCCCTGCCGCTTTCATCCCAGCCTCTCCCCGGCTTGGTTGTACCCTCTCTTTCACTTGCGCCCCTCACCTCCCTCTTCCCTTTCCCTTCCCTTCTCCATCTTCTTCCAGTTCCCTTGTTGTGTGTGTACAGATGCAGTGTAAAATAACGTGACCACTTAAAATTAATTAGCATAATGAATATGCAAGTATTTCGGTACCAGCCCGCCAAAAGTTTTTGAATGAGTTTGCTGGTCCATGGTATAAAAAAGATTGGGAACCACTGGTCTAATTTATGGTGGCATTGTTCCTGAAGGAGTCATACAGTTTTCAACTGGTAGTATTTCTTAAAGCCACATTACAAACATGATCTAATAATGCAGTGGCCTCTTGTAGATGGGCGGTAACAAGAACAGGAGCTTGGCGTTTCCTGCACAGAATACTTTGAAACTGGCCTCAACTCAAGATGAGAACCTGCTTTGTACTTTGGATTTCTTTATGTACAGGTAATACAAATATTACAGCACGGTTGTTATCTAAAATGTTTTGAGTCACAGGTGTGTGTTGGTCAGACAAAAATTTTCTTCTCTGTTTTTTGTGTGTGTGTTTTCACTGAAGTAGCTTCATAGCAAAAAGACTTTCAAACTGGGGTAAATCTCCCTGGTGCCAGTCACTTTTTACACAAGTCCAGGTAAATGAGCTTGAAATGGGGCCCAATTCATGTTTTGCTCATGTTTGCCATATAATTTGAAATTTCACATAGGTTATGTTTTAGGTCCTTTGAATTTTCTAGATAGTTCATTTTTGTTTTGTTTTTCATATATTTTTAATAGCGCGTTCCTGAAATTTGTCTATGACAATTACCAGAAACTTTGCAAAAAAGTGAATCTTGGAGTACATGGGGTAGTTTTATTCAAAGAAATGTTAGGATTAGGAGTAATTATTTTCCTTTATTCATCAGCTTAAAATGTATGCAAACTGACATGCAAAAGCTCTGTGAGGAAACACTGAGGTACTTGTAGAGCCATGCGGGTGGAACCATGGATTTATTCTTGAGATGGGCGGAGGGTCGCGTGTGGAGGTTATGGGAGCTATTAATCGATGAGATGAATTTGAAAGAGGAACTTCAAATTTTATGTAGCAGCTGATAGATAACATGTTGCATTTTGTCGAGGATTCTCAACAAAGCAACTGCTGCTTGAAGAACAGAATCTTCATGAATGTGCTTCCGTAGCTAAAATGTGCAATAAATGTTAACTCAGAGTGTGCAGACATAGCTCTCTAGTGACACTCTTTGCCCTTCTCCCAGTCACTGGCCCCCCAAAACATCCGATGAAGAAATTTGGTGAGAAACAAAGCTTCTTGGGCAGTGTTTACCAAAGATCAGCAATTAAAAGAAATTCAAAATTGACGCTGTCTGAATACTTTCATGAATACTCTTGTACTGAGTCATTAAATACCTGAGTGGCCCTCATTAGAATTATAAACAGATCCACACTTCATATACAAAAATGATACATGCACAAAAATAGGATTTACAGATTCAGCAGATTGTACCTATAAAATTGATATGTTACATTATGCATTTTGCATAAAGCATCTTCAGTTATGCATGTTCATATTCATAAGCCAGTTTTCATAAAGCAGGGGAGAGCTGACACACAATTTCTGTTTGCAGTGATGAGAAATTGTTGCATAGGATTCCAGCACAGTTGGCAGAGCTAAGATTCCAGGTGTTGTAGTGCATGCTGGTTGTGTTAGAGGTGATGTACAGATCTCTGGCTAGACAAGCAGAGAGTATATGATGTTACGTGACAGGTTTTAATTTTTGTTTTTGAGCTGCATGAGTTAGGGATGTTATATGTGTGGCTACCTTAACTAATACCTAATGTAAGTCTCAGAGGGGTAGGAGTGTTAGTCTGTAATTTAAAAAAACCCTAATAATCCAGTAGCACTCTGGGATACGTCTACACAGCAACATTATTTCACTAGCGTTATTTCTAAATAATTTAGTCCGTGTCTACACGTCATGGAGGATAGGTCCATCCATGGCTATTAGGCAGGATGGCAGGAATGGTGTCTCTAGCCTTTGTTTGCCAGAAGCTGGGAATGGACTGCAGGGAATGGAGCAATTGTTGGTTCCCTGTTCTGTTCATTCCCTCTGAAGAACCTGGCATTGGCCACTGTTGGAAAACAGGATACCCGGCTAGATGCACCTTTGGTCTGCCCCATTATGGCTATTTTTATTATTTTAGGGTATGTCTACACTACCCCGCTAGTTCGAACTAGCGGGGATAATGTAGTCATCCGCAGTTGCAAATGAAGCCGGCGCCATTTTTAAATGCCGGCTAGTTCGGACTCCGTGCCGCGCGGCTACACGCAGCATGGAGTAGCTAGTTCGGATTAGGCTTCCTAAAACAACTGCAGTTGGGGAAGCTGGGGCTGTACTGCCTAGGGAGGCTGGAGCCATGTGCCCTTCTCCCGCCCCGTGCTCCAGGGCTGGGGAAGCTGGGACCGTGTGCCCACTTCTTCCCGCCCTCTCCTCCCCGCCGCTCCTGGTAGGGAGGGGGCACATGCGCAGCATGGCACCTTGTAGGGGCAGGGCCCCAGCAGAAGGGGTGGGGCTCGTCCAGCCCTACCTTCACTGCCACCCACACATAGCTTTTATAGAAGATCCCTACAGAATGAGATCCTTTTGCTATGTTCTTGTTTTAAGCAAAAACACTTTATAGATTTGTATAGCAATACACAGATTTAATCCTGTTAAATCCTATAGGATCAACAAAATTGTATCCCTGCTATATAAAGCTGTGAAAATTGATCTCATGCCTTTGGTCTTTTCTGTAATGGGCCACTGCAGCTGATGGTAGAATTTAGACTCAATGATATCAAAATGAGGGGCACAAGTATGAATGAGGGCCATGTCTGACCCAAAGTTTTGTAAAACACAACCGGAAGCAAGATTGAATGAGAGAGAGAGGGAGCACATGTCTGCTTGAAATGGAATGAGCTCACTTTCTGAAACTGTGGAAACATTGTGAGGAAAACAAACAGCTTCTCTTACAGATTGGTGTGCACTATCCCTCTGGTCAGATGGGGACAAGACCGCTATGGAGGGAACCAGCACTACAGTAACCTGCTCCTATGACAGAGGGATGTATGTGTATTACAGAAAATACTGGTGCCATGGAGCATCCAGATCATCTTGTGATATTTTAGGAGACACAGAGAATTTTGTTAAGAGTGGATATAAAGGAAGATTATTACTCTTGGATAACAAAAGAGGAGACTTTTTTGTCACAATGAACCAACTCGTGGAAGAAGATTCAGGAATGTATTGGTGTGGAATACAAAGACCGTATGCAGATATAATGACTGCTGTGAAACTCACTGTGACTGAAGGTAAAGATGCTTTAAACATTGTAATGTCTCTGAGATGTTCATTAGTTTCATCACTAGAGTGAAGAAAGTATGTTGTCTGCAGTGATTTAGTTACTCTTATTTGATGTAAAATGGGAATGAACAATACTGCAATTGCAAAACCAGAAAAGTGAAAACTAGAGCCAGAATGTCACTGAACCAAGAACAGAGCTGCTCTATGTGGCTGAACACCTCAATAGCAAGAGGTGCCCTGCAGTTATATAGAAACACTAGCACCCAATCGACCAACCCATTGATCACGGTCGATTGGGAGGGCCTGACCACTCGATCGTGAGGCCTTCGGGGCCCACTCCATTTGCCCCCACTCCCAAGAAGCCCCACTACCTACCTTCAGTGACAATGGAGGTAGCACCAGCTTCCCGCGGGGTGCATGGAAGTCCCACAGCTGCGCGCCACTTCCAGTGTTTCAGGAAATACACTGGCTACTCCCCCTCCCCCAAACAGCTGGCACAGTACCTGAAAGGCCAGGTATGTGGCGTGCTGGGGACTTCCTGCGGGGATGGAGGAGAGGGGGGTAGGAGTCCCTGGAGGAGGCACGCGCAGACTTCCCTCTGCAGGAAGGGGCGGGGGTTGGAGTCCCCAGAGGAGGTGTGCACTGGGATGTCCTTCCCCTGTGGTGGGGAGGGGGGAAGAGGAGGTAGGCGTCCTGGGAGAAGGCACGTGCCAGGGACTTTGTTCCCTGCCCCAGCACCCACTGGCAGCCTACTACCTGCCCTATCAGCCTGCCATCTGCCCCATCACCCTGTCCCCTGCCTCAGCACCCACTGGCACCCTGTGCCCACCAGCACCTGGCACCCTGCCCCCACAAACACCCTGTCCTCACCAGCACCTTTCCCCAGTAGCATGTCCCCTGCTCCCACCAGCACAGTTGGGGTCACATTAATGAGGTTTGGGGGTTTTTGGAGGAGTTTTTTTTTTTGCATCTCACTTGTGTGGCCCCAACTGACTTTTCTGCGGGTCAGTGACTCCTGACTCAAAACAGGTTCCCTGCCCTCTCATAAATAAAGACAATGCAGAAACTTTTTGTGTTTGACATAATATTTTATTTAAAAATGAAGCCTGGCCAGCAAGCCCACAATTAGGGCCAAGCCCCCATCTGGCCGCAGAACCATAACACTCCTGCACCCCCCGAGGCCCCAAACCTGCCCTCTGACCTGAGCCTCACATCCCCAAGCTCCTGCATCCCCACATCCTCAGTCTTCTACCAGAACACTCCTGCACCATCCACACACCGCAAATCTGTATCCTGAGCCCATCATACTCCCAGCCTCCCTGCCCTGAGCCCCTCACACACCCAGCACAAACTCCTGCACCCTCATATCCACAAGCCTGTGGTTTGTTCAGCACTCCAACTCTCCACCTGACCCCAACACTTCCCAGCTTGGAGCCCCCTCCCCGAGCCAGTGTCCCCTTCTCCACATCCTCCTTCATCCAAATTCCCTCCCAGAGCTTGCACCTCTCACCCCTTCCCACCCCCAAATCCCTCATTTCCACCCCAGAGCCTGCACCTCCCATCTCAACCCAGTGAGGGTACCACTAGACTACAAGAGTTTTTCCATGATACCAGAGGTATCTTCCACCTCCAGAGACACATTTGTTCTTCCACTTTTTTTGGCAACCCCCTGTATTCCCTGTTCCACGAGGAAAAAGGGGGCTTCCGAAAGAAGGGGTTTTTCTGACATTTGACCCAGTCTAGATGGGCCAAATGTTGGAAAAACCTCTTCCTACAGAATAATAATAATAAAAAAAAGCGGCAGTGTAGCCATACCCTGAGAGTGTATAAGGGCTGGGGATAGCCAATGATGGAGAGGAGGAGAATAGAGAGGGCGGGGCTTCAAGGAAGGGGTGTGGTCTTGGGGAAAGGATGGGGTAGATCTTGGCTTGTTCTGACATTTAAAAAGTGATCTTGGGCATAAAAAGGTTGAAGACCACTGCACTAGCAGATGTACATGGCATTGCTTGGGAAGAGAGAGGGAAGAGTCCTCAGACCCCATGAGGAGGGGTGAAGCGAATCCCCAGGCTCTGGGTGAAGGAGGGGAGGGGGAAATCACTGTGCCCTGTAGAAGCCTCACTGTGGGAGGTGGGAAATCTCCACATGCCCATGAGGAGTGGCAGGAAAGGAAGAGTGTGCGGGCCACTGTCAGGAGGTGGGAAATCACCAGGCCCTGTAGCTGCAGGTGGGGAGGAGAAGGGAAACCTTACCTTTGGAAGGTGGCCTGGCTGGCAACATGTAGAGCCTCTTCCCGCCGGTCAGTCTCATGCTGTGGCTGTCCCCAAAGCTCACTCTGCAGTATCATGTCCCTGCTCGCTGCCCCTAATGATGAGTGGGAGAAGCACCATGTTCCTCCTTTCTTTGCCCCCTCCCTTTCCATGTTGTGAAAAACAGCCCCATTCCTGCCACTTCCTGTGTTTTTGGCACAACCAAACCCTGACCTTGCTTTAAGTTAGGGTAAGGGGAGGCCGCCTACCAAATTTGGTGGCCCTTGCTGTTACTGGTTCAGAGGAGTTCTAGCACAGAGAGACATTTCATTTCTAAAGTATATATATAGATGGTTTGCATTTCAGTTGTATCTAGGGTATCCAACTGAGATCAGCGCACCGTTGTGGTAGGCATTCTAAAAAACACAGGATGAGACAATCCCTGCCCCAAAGAGCTTACAATCTAAATAGACAACACAGAGCAAAAGGGGATCCTGTTATTCCTCCCCACTGCTGTACAGCTTGAGAACCCAAACACAGAGTAGCAGCTTGTACAGCTATATGCACTAGAGAGGTGTGAATTATAATGCTCCTTAATGTGCATTCATGTAGTTCGTACTGGTACTACATGAACATGCACTAGGGAAATTTACTCAGGCCCGTTAGTGCCCTTTAGAATTCAAACCTCTGTAGTATGTTTTGCCACACTGTATAGACAAGACCTATATGACTTGCTCCAGGTCCCATGGAGTCTAGGATGAAGCCAAGAACTACCAGATGTCCTCCTGAGTCCATGTCCAGGCCTTACCCACTAAGCTAACCATCCTCTTAAGTGATGAGAGAAAAAGCTGAGATTTAAGAATACATGATATCCCTGTCAACCACAGAATTCATGATGTAGTAGCAGCCTCACCTTATCCTAACAGGTGCTTCCTGATTCAGAAAGATATCATGCAATATTCTCATTCTTGAGAATAAATTCCTTGCCATATTGATAATTTCAACATTACCCATGTCACAATCCTCATTTTATGCAGTGTTGTTGTAGCCATGTTGGTCCCAGGATAATAGTTAGGCAAGGTGGGTGAAGTAGTATCTTTTACTGGACCAACTTCTGCTGACGAGACACAAGCTTTCAAAGCACAGCCACCTAAAGAGGAGCTCCACGGGATTCAAAAGTTTGTTTCTCTCTCAAACAGAAGTTGGTTCAATAAGAGATATGATCTCAGCCACCTTGCCTCACTAATCCTCATTGTATTCAGTTTTAGATAAATACACATGTCAAAGCTGGCACACACTTGCCCAGAGAGATTCAGCTCAGCCTTTGGTGTGGTGAGGAAGGCACTCTTAAGCCTATAGATAAGGCATCAGCTTATGTACTGTGTGAACTCACTGATCAAGGATCAATGGTATGTAAATGCCTCTGTCTTCCCCACTCTTTCTAAACTCAGCAGCAAAGCCAGGCAGTTTCTTGAGTCTAATCCTTTGAAAGCGTATAGAACTTGATATGGATTATCTACAGCCAACTCTGATTGGCTAATCCAAACAATGCTTCTGACCCTTTTGTGTGCTGCATCTCACCAGAACTATTTGGTTCCATTTCAGAACCTCTCTCCATACCACTTATTACTTTCACCAACCATCCCAGTGACTCCTGCCTAGGGAGATCAGTGACTGTCAGATGTCACTCAGCCACAGGCTCTAATGTTCACTACACATGGTACAGAAAGAGCTTTTCAACCACCACTGCCATTGTGCACAGCAGTGATCTGGTGCTTCGCTGTGGAGACCTCCTGGAGAGTCAGAGCTATTACTGCCAAGCTATGACTCGCAGAACAAACAAATCCACCCACCCGGTGAGAGCAGAGGTGCTGAACCCAGCCAAGGAGAACTGCACATACCGCTTACAATTAGCAGGTAATGTTTTCAATTCACTGTTTGCTTGACGGACTGATTAATAATTCACTGGAAAAATATTCTAATGCACAAGTTAACTCCTTTCACACTATGTTATGCTAGCCCAATATGGACCTCCTAACGCAGAAAGGAATCCAGCTACAAATACAGCAGTATCTTGTATTGCCTGTTGAATTTGTCCTTAGATGCCTAGTATATGTGCAAATACCAGCACACCTGCAGCATGGGGAACAAAATGGCAGACATGTTGTTACCAAAAATACCACATCTTTATCCCTTGAGTTAAAGGAGAACGCTCCTTAGCTAAAAGGGTTAGGAAGATTTAATTGTCCTGTGTAAATAGAGAACTGTTTAATGTAAATACAGCATTTTCTTTACTCCTCTTGTTGTTTAAGGGGAGTACAAAATGCCTAATGCCAAGGAGATATACATTGGTTTCTGTAAAAGGGATTGTATATTTTTATTACAGATGGGAAATCATACAACTGTATAAAAACTACCCCAGAGTTCACAGTTGAGATGGCTACAACACCCTTCTCAGGCTCTTCAGCACCTTGCTCCAACTCATCTAGCCATCCTGGCACAGAAGAGTAGGTACCAGCCGTCACAGCTATGTGCTAGTAGAAATTCTGTCTAAAGACTTTTAAGGCTAGGTGCTAGGAGATCAGATTCAGGGACAGCCTATAAAATGTCCTGATACTCTTCACATTAGTAGAAAAAAAAATCAGGTGAAACTAACAGTGGAAATAGTTGTGCCTAGGTACCATGGCAATTGGCATACCGGGAATATTGGAAAGAGACATGCTAAAGAGAAAAATCAGTATAGAAGAGATTTTATGGGGAATGAAATTGCCAACTCTATCCAAATGACAGAGCACTGCACCAAAGTGTCACAGAGGACAAGAGTTTGGAAGACTTTAAAGAGGATCCAGTGCTTATATGGACATTGAGAACTTTCAGTTATGGAAGGAAGGACTGTAATAAATTATAAAGAGAATCATGCTTCAGGGCATAGGCTGATTACTAAACTACTCAGGGTTAAGGAAAGGCCTCCGGGTGGGGATGGTGTTCCATAATTGTCTCATTTCATTTCCTGAATTTTCCTTTAAGGTATTAGGTCAGGATACTGAATTAGATGGACCATTGTTCTGATCCATCATAGAAATTCCAATGTTTCTATTTAGAAATAAGGGCAACTAATAGGACAACAGAATCCAGCACCGCTGTTTGAAAAACAAATAATAACAATAGGACTTGTGCTCCTAGATCCTGTGGGCACTTTTGAAAAAAATCTCCCTCTGTGGAACATGCTTTTAAGAATAGTAATAGAAATGTAGCCTTGTTAGTCTGGTGTAGCTGAAACAAAAAACAGGACTATGTAGCACTTTAAAGACTAACAAGATGGTTTATTAGGTGATGAGCTTTCGTGGGCCAGACCCACTTCCTCAGATCAAATAGTGGAAGAAAATTGGCATGACCAAAGGATACAATCAAAAAAATGAACACATATGAAAAGGACAAATCAAATTTCAGAACAGTTTCTTGCCATTTCAGCCAGAAAGGGCATTGTGTCCAGGACTTAACTATCTGCATCCTGCTTCAAAGACATTTTAACACTAGACTTGATGAAAGAGAATCCTCTGAACTGTCATTCATGCTTAAATTTGACACTTTACACCTAGGTCTTAACAAGGATGCTAATGATCTTATCCATTACAAAGATAGCTTCCCCAGTTATCACCTCTAATATCATTAGCTCACAGATATTTACCTCAGCCCCCTTCTGTTCTGAAATTTGATTTGTGCTTTTCATGTGTGTGCATTTTTTTGATTGTATCCTTTGGTATATATGGTCGTGCCAATTTTCTTCCACTATTTGATCTGAGGAAAGCTCATCACCTAATAAACCATCTTGTTAGTCTTTAAAGTGCTACATAGTCCTGTTTTTTGTTTCATGCTTTTAAGAAACATTTAAAACAAGCACATCTTTTAACTGCTGATCCAGTATTTCCACAGTGGCCAGTCAAATCTAATTTCCTTTTTGCTTTTAGAAGTTGGATCCCAGTTCCATGGGCTATTCTGCGCTGGCTATTCCTGATTATTCTAGTGACAGCTTTACTTATCATTCAGAGCAACAGGCCATAGAAAAGTGGTGAGTTTCTTTTAACTGTAAAGACAATTTTCATAATACTCTTATCTGTATTATGGAGCTAAACGATTCTCTACAAAACTGACAAGAAAAGGAGGCTTCTGTGTATAGGTCTATATTGAAGCTAGCTAGCTATTAAAGTATTCTTAATGTACATTTTACTAATATATGCTCAAATGCGATTTGAGAAACTGGGCAGTTTTTTATTTTATTTGCTGTAAATATCAATATTTATAAAGAGAATTTCCATTCTGACTGAAGATTTTTAAACCTGTAATCAAGGACAAAAGTTTATTTACAACCAAAAGCAGTTTGCTGCTTCTGCCCTCCTGGAAGATCACAGCTCTCAATAGAGCACTGCTTCTATATATAGCCAGTAGTGTGCACTCTGATATACTTCCTCCCAGGCTGTAAATCTTTGACCCACCGGGTCTTAACATATAGTATACTTATTCAGTGAAGATTTTTTAAGTCTAAGATTTTAATTGCTTTACATTTCTGTTCATATCAATGGAAATGTATTCTCATGTGGTTTTGGTGTGAGGTTTAAAAAACCCAAATACCAACATTTACCAACAGAAGTTGAGTCCTAAGGTTACTATAGTGAGGTGCAGCTCTTACCGAGTAAAAACATAATATGCATGCTCTTGTGATACATTGTGGTCACAACACCTTAGCAATTATTTTCTTTCTTTATAGACCATAAGCCTAGAGATATTTTATTAAATATGGATACTTTGAATTATAAAAAAGCTACTAGTAAAACTGTATTAACAAAATTGAAGGTACCCCAGGATTATAGAGGTGACCCAAATCCGTGATAAATGAGAATGTCATGCTTCAAGTGGGACCTGCCTGCACGTAGCTTGACTCACGCTCTTATTCACCAATAAAGGAATTTTAAGAGGCCCAAATTATCCATGGATGATGAGCATAAATCAAATCTGGAGCCTACATGGGAATCTAAAAAATTATTCCATAATACAAGATTCAACTCCTAATGTGCCAGGTTGACGTCTCTATAATTACCCTGCTGATGTTCTATAGTTAAGGGCAGGTGGCCATGTAACATCTCAACTACATGACCACCTGCTGGATTCCATATAGGGCTGCTCTGAGTGGTTGTGAGTGCAGGGTCCACACATGGCCAGAAAGCACTTTGCAATACAAATATTCTTTGGTTTTAGAGAATAAACTGAAAAACTATGTTTTTAAGGTTTCATTTTCAGAATCCTCAGAGTGCCCCCATCACATGAAGACACAGTCAGAGTCTTGTGTGCTGTTTGGTTAAGTACAATTTCCTGGCCATCACCAACAGTGTGATATTGCCTACCTCTTAGCATAGAATGATGCATTCAGCTGAAGCTGTTATCACGAAAGCATCTGGACAAACTCCCACGCACTGGTCACCCAAGAGACAACACTTCTCGGTATACCATTCAGGAAGCAATGTTTTATGAACCCTGAATATACTGTTGCTGGAACAGTCTAAGACAATATGCAAAATTCACAATTTACAGTCACATTTATAACTGTGTCTTGTGTGTGTGAACTGCACTCTATGTTCTGAAAGTGCTTTCGACAGATGCTGTGCACCCAAAACAGGTGCAGTTAGCTTATGCATTCATCACATTAATCTGAAACATACCTAAAGTTCTTAGACACAGAGATAATGCCTGTGTGTATATTGGGTAAACCCTTCCCAGCCACTCTTCCCCAGGTCAGAGTACCTAGACCTGCTCCACCAGACATCACTGCTAGGAGACGGGGAAAAAGCTCCAGGTCCATTAGCCTTTAAAAAAAATCTGCTATGCCAGACTACTCCCCATTCTATTAACTTCCTAGTGAAACTTCTCTAGCTGACAAGAGCCAAACACCCACAGTGACTCTGCAGCGGCAGAAAAGAGAAGATTTTCAAACAGAATCAGATATGAGAGGAGCAAAACGTCAACTTTCTAGAAACTAAAAAAAGATTCTGCACCAACAGTGAAAATCCCAGATTGAGTGTCCCTGGACAAACAGCCAGACGAGCCTTATAAGGATGTCAGGGTTAAATACAGATTAGCAAAGAAAATAAAGCAGAATTATTGGATTTTTGTGAAAATCCAGTTCAGTGTACCTCTGTAGAACTCTTGCCTGGTTTTCTGAGTGGCAACAGACCTTTCTACACCTTAAAAGAGGCATTGCTGTCAAATTTAAATTTTGTAAATGAAATTCTGCATGGTAAAGCAACAAAAACGTGTAAAATCGTAAGGAAAACAGCCATTTTAAAACTTAAATATGGCCACATACCCCTGACGTGGAAACTAACTGTACACCAGTGACATCGACACCATTGTTCAAGTTGAGAGAAATACAGGTAACTAATGAAGTGTATAAGAGTGACACTGTGGATTTTTATATTCTTTCCAGTGATTTAGGATGTGTCAGTGACAGAGGGAGAAGCTTGTTTACCAGATGATTTTTAAATTGACGTCTTCCCTTTGGGAGGCTATAAGGGCAACTGCCCTAATTAAATCAACTAGCAGTACAGCTACTGTCCCTTAAGCCACCTTGCACCCTGCCCATCCATCTGGCTGGATTTCCACAGAGGTGCCTACAAGACGCAGATCCAATTTGAAATTGAGTATTTAACAATTACTCTATTGCCCAGAGACTACACAAGAGGATTGGAACCTCCTTGTATTGGACACTGTACAAACACAACAAACAGAAAAAGTGGTCAATGACCTGAAGAGTTTATGGTCCAACTTAATCTACTTTTAATAAAAATAAGCACATGGATCTGTATCTTTACAAACTCTATGGATCTGCATCCCTTTCCTCGTGCTGTGTCACTTGGTGGAACAAGTGTTGCTATCAGTTCTCACACTTAGAAGTTGCATTTACAGCCTATACTGGAAAACAAAAAAAAGTCACTCCTACAAATGATTTGTAAATAAGCTAATAAGTTCAGGAACAAGAGAGCTGCATCTGGTGAGGGGAAATAGCTACATGTTGAGATGTCCCATTACTGACTTGATCAATCTTCAAGGAAGGGAGACGAACAAAAAAAATCTGGGAAAACAATGTTCAGAAAACAGTCTTGTTTAAATGAGGTCGCTGAAAGCTGCCATTTCACTCCCAGGAAGGTAGAGGAGCCTTTTGCATCAATTTTCAAAGTTCTCCTAAAAATGTAAAAGAAAATTAAAAACTACAGTTAAAGGAAATGGCAGTAAGACAAGTGGCCCAAGTGCAGGATGGGGAACCAGTTCTTCCTGCTTGTGTGCCAAATTTCCCTCTGGCCCAGGCCAAGTTGCTTTATCTTTCCGTGCATCAGTTTCTCCATCTGTAACATGGGGAGCCCCATCCCACAAGGGGAATGAAAGTGTCTGTAAAGCCCAAAGGAGCCAGAAAGTGCTAAATATGATTCACTTTTATTCCTTAGGAACTATACTTAGGACAGAAATGTTAGACTGCGGGGTGAAATCCCATTGGAATCAATGGGAAGCATACTGTTGATGCCAGGATTTCACCAAGACATTTAACAAAGCAGTGCTTCACATACAGAGAACACCGGAAACATAGGACTACAAGAGGGAGCAAGCTGGCATATTTAGGGTCAGTGGCCAACAATGCCAGGGCATGCTGCTGAATGGCACGTTGCACAGCTAGGCAGTTAGGACGCCTCTTTGGGAGTGCCTCTGAATGGTGCCCCTAGAACACTGGATCAGTCTACAGACTAGCAAAGGGACAGAGCCACATGTGCCAACAGGGAACGTCAGTGACCCATGAGCACTCACCCAGCCCCCATGAGCTTGGATGTATCCTCTCACTTCACGGTTCCCATTAATCAACTCCTCAAGATGGAGTTGAGTGGCCACAGTTGGAACTTTCCGGACAAGGTATGCTAACAATTTCACAGATACTGCCAGAAATGCTCTCTCATAGCTCAGCTCCGGATTCTGGCTGCTCCAGGCCTTGCTGAGAGAATCCACCATGGCTCCAAATTCCTCCACCTGGAAACACCAAGAAGAGACTTTATAAAATGCCACCATTAAAGTAAGTCATGATTCAAACTCCCACAGGATTACCAGGCCTTGCTTGCTCTGCCTATGATTGATTAAGGACAGTGACCCCTAAGATACCAAGCAACATACTGCTCAAGTCAGACTGTAAGGTCTTCGGGCAGGTATGTACTGCGCAGTACATACAGTCCCTGCCTGAAGACCTTACAGGCTGAATTTGTTCAGTGCTACTATAGTTCGCACAACAGTGCTGGGGGAGGAGGCGGCACAGTTTCCAATTTAACTAGAGCTGCAAAGAGCTTAGAACTAGAGATGCGTAGAGGTATTCATACTGCAACTGGGCTGGGATGAGTTCCAACTTCAGACCAGGCTCATGTTGGGTCAGCTAACAGGCTGGGGCTGTTCAGACAGCTCCCCTTCCTTAGTCCCTCTCCCCTGACATTCAAGAGCAGCCCTTCTCCATCAAGAGGAAGGATCCTCACATAATAGCACCTCAGTTAAGCAAAGTGGTGCTGGAGCTCTACAGTATATTGCAGGAGAGAGATAAACGCTGGCCTAAACAAAGAGCGCTTGTGCATTACCTTTCCCTTAGTCACCCCAGCAATGACACGCTGGGCAGGCTGCTCCAGGTCCTCGTTATATTGGTCTCCCAGATTCCGCAGACGACTGGCAATAATAGTCGGATCAAAGGCACTTGAAGCTTCTGATTCTGCACAGAGTTGATATTCTAAGATGACAGAGGGCAGGGAAAAGGGTACAGCCTACAGGGCAAGGGGCTGAGGAGAATGCCTGGTTCATGTCTAAACTGCTTCTTTAAAAAGAAAATACTACATAACAAATTGTGTTAAAAGAATGTGAAGTCAGGCACTCAGAAGTTAGGTAATGCCAGAGTTAAGATTCCCCATGCAACCTTAATTTGGAACCCTTGTGCGTATGCATTATGTGATAATGGAAAGATAATATTTCCTAAGAGTTCCTAATTAAAAAACCCCAAAAGACTGAAAAACAACTTCTATCGTGTGGAACCATACTGACACTGGACTTAGAATTCAGATCCACAGCACAGACCTGCACTACTTGAATTAACAGAGTAACTAGTAACAGAACTGGGCTGAGTATGAAGATCAGACAATAGATGAGACACAGAGTTAGCCAAGGAAGTTACGCATTTGCTGATAGAGCAACATAGACAACTGGATTCATTTAGAGGGAAGTGAGTCTAATAGGGAGACCCTGTTTGTCCTTGCCCCCAACCTCCCACATGCCTGACATTTTCTGTTGCCTCCAGTCTCCTTCCTTCCATCTGACATGGCCCATGTTAGCTTCATGTTCCAGTTCACTACCTTTTGCAGACCCTTCTGCCAACTTCCCCAATGCCCAGCTCGTTACTTCTTCCTCCTTCGTGCTGTCTGGCAGCCAGCTGGGGGAGCAAGGAGGATAAAGGAGAGATTCTCTGTTTTAGTGCCCAGTACCCCAGATGACTCTGTCAGGTGGGAGAAGGATTTGCCAAGATGGTACTGCTCATCCCCTGCATTTCCAGGTTAGAATATGCTCAGGATGGGCAAAATCTTCAGCCAATTCACCTGTCAAACTACTGAGTTTCTAATGTGTGCAAATGAGAATGTTTGAAAGATGTAGTGATTTGGCCAGTTTGAGCTCTCTCCAGAGATTGTATAATCCTGACACAAATATCACTCTGCCCAAGTTTCAAGTTCCCGCTCCATTGTGGGGAAGTGCTAAAGCTTCTCAGCAGAACCGGTTTTAAAATTTAAGCTGGGCAACACACACGTTTTCTTAAACACGTTCTAAGAAACAACAACTATTGCTCCTTGAAATTTTCCAAAACAGAGTTCACCTTGAGGCAAATACCCAGCACTGAAAATTTCAATCCAAATTGTTAGTTTGCCCCAACTGTAAGCCATGGAAGACAAGAAGCATTGGGACACCTATCTCCCAGTTGTTAGTTGCTCCACCCATTTCTGGGTAAGTCCTAGTTGCCCTTTCTTATTACTTTGCTAAACTGCTCTCTTATTGGTGCAAATATATGGGTATTTCAGTGCTTAGCAGCCCTTACTCCCTGTGGAATTCTGATCCCCCCCCGCACACACACACCAAACATATACACACTAGATTCCATGGGTTCAGGAAAACTTCATCCGAGTTACAGACATTCACCTGGCTGTTTTCACAATACTAGTCAGTGAAGAGAGATTTGCACGTGACCCATTAGCCCAATGGGAACACAGCACAGGGAACAGGCAGATGGGGGACACTCCAGGCCAAACTTTCCTCCTTCAGTTCCCTCCTCCGAGCCTGGGCTTACACCTCCTCCCACTTTCACCCACTCCCCAGAACTAGGTAGGATCTGTCTTTTGGCTCGTCTGAACTAGACTGTACTCACCCCAAGACAGAGCCCATTCTCTCATTTGTTAAGCACCAAGGACAGTGTTGGCATTTGGTAAATGAATGATAATTAAATCAGGACAAGTTAAACTTTCCCCATCACTGTTAAGACAAGTTACTTTTCATACTCACAGATACCTGACATGTTATGGAGATTTGGAAACTTTAATCCAAAAATCCCAAGTGCTGTACACACTGTTATATATTTAATCCACACACTTGTGATATAGCCTGGGGTTTTCAATGACAAGCTCTCATGATCCCCATTTTGCATTTCACTAAAAAGACAGTCCTTTCCAGTAGCCTAATTCTCCATACCCCACATCGGGGAAATGGTTCATCAAGGACAGGGGGAAAGGCAACAGTGCTCCTTGCATTTCCCTGGAGACTCAAGGAAATACTGACCCCATGTCAACCCATATTGTAGCCCTCATCTCTATCCATTCCAGAATATCATGACAGGACATTTGCCTAGAATTTTCAGCCAAGAAAGCCTCCTGCCTCCCTCCAGAGATTTGGTCCCAGGCAACCTTACCTGTACTTGACTCAGTAACAGAGTCGGTCTCCAGACAGCGGAAAGCAACCTTTTCATCTTCCCCTAAGAGACCAGAGAGCAGTGCCTCCACAATGTACTCAGTTTGCTCCTCAAAAGTCCTAGGGCTCTTCATTTTAATATGTCTCTTCCTTGAATTGTCTGAAGTTCAGACAGAAGCCAAGCTGTCTCCTGCAGCTATTCTTCCGGGTAAGGTTTGTATCTAGAAGTTTTCCTCCTTCCTGGTCAGCTCAGTATGAGTCATTCCCTCCCCAGGGCAAGTTCCTTACAGACTCCTCCTCCCTAGGGCAGGGTAAAGTGCTGACAGGATATTTCATCCCTCAGTCTTGCTCCTCTGCACATGGGTGTGGCAAAGTTCTACAATAACCATTTACTGTAACTTCAGAGCCAAGTTAATCGAAACTGGAAAAACTTAAAGAATGGTCTGGTAGCACTTTAAAGACTAACAAAACATATAGACAGGATCATGAGCTGCGTGGGGCGTTAGTCTGTAAGGTGCTACACCATTTGTTGGGTTTTAAGTTTTTCCAGTTACTGTAAAACAGTTTTCTAACATGAATTATCTCCAAAGTCCATTATTCACCAAAGGAAACCCTGCCTAAGAGTCTCTCCAAGATCATATCAACACAGGGATTGGGTTACTGACAACTGTGTACACATGAGGGGTTAATGACAGGGTACAAAGGTGTTTTTGCTACATAATGCAAATACACTCCTATCACCCAGAACAGCCCAGTTGTGGCTAAGTGAGCTCGAAGCACACATAAAATGCCCCACAAAGTTGGTAATAAGAGACATGCTCTTATCAGTCTATGCTTAATCCCAACTGTAAAGCAGGCAGCTTTACCTGAGGTTTTACTAGTGACTCCCTGCTGGCTGCTTGCTTACTACAGAGAACAGATCCGATTGTCAGTGGTGTTCCATAGCAAATTGTGCGCTGCTTCTTCCAAGGTCCTAGTGTAGCAAGAGCAGCCACTCACCAGCACAAGACAGGGCTTATGACTATGGGGGAAGAAGCTATTCCCTAAGTACGAGAGCTATTGGATGGACACTGAGGGTACATTTACACTGCACACAAAAACAAAAGGCCATGGCAGTGAGTCTGAGCCCAGGCCAGCTGACAGACTCAGAGCTAAAAAATAGCTGTGTAAACATTCCCAGTTCTGCCCAACGCCTGAGCTCTGAAATCCAAAGGGAGGACTCTAGCCTGCAGGCCCACTACTCTAGCCCTGTAGCATAAGAAAGAGGAAACTGGCAAACAGCGTAAGTGCAGCAGTAAATAAGGGTAAGTCTGCACAGCAGTGTTATTTCTGAATAACTAACATTATTCCAAAATAACATGGTCCACGTCTACACAAGCAGCCATTATTTTGATACAATGTCAAAATAATGTCGTCTTACTCTGACTCCTGTAACCCTCATTTTACAAGGAGTAAAGGGAAGTTGGAGGAAGAGTGCTGTTTCTCGAACTTCCTGTGGGGCAGGCAGCGCCAAAAGCCAAAGTAAGCTATTTCAGCTTAAGCCACGCAACGGATGTAGTTCAAGTTGCATAGCTAATTTCGGCTTTAGCCTTGCTACGCTGACATGCCTTTAATAGTCTCTTGGTGCAAATAAAATAAAGGGGAAAAGAAAACACAGAAAGAGGAAGGGTTAGGAGTGGTCTGTTAAAAGCAGCCAGTTGATTTCAACTTGTAGACTGTATTTTGGGACCTCTCCCTACTATACTCCCGTTTTTACCAATATAGTGTCCTGTTGCCAAAGCCTTTCCACACCCCACTGACAGGCTCTGGAAGTGGGGAAAGGCTAGCTGCCAGAGCTTTTCATTGAATCGATAGCTGAGCACCACAGCACAGATAGCCTGTTTTTCACTCTGGCACATAGCTACATGTACACTACTTGTGCCACAGCAGTATGCAGTGTAGACCGCCTAAAGGCGTGTCTTTCCTACCTGACGGATCAACAGGCAGCGACTGATCCAGCAGAGAGGGGGGAAAAATCAATTTATCACATCTAGTAGAGATGCAATAAATCAACTGCTGAGTCTCCCATCAATTCCATTATTCCACCAGATGGAGTCGAGGGGACGGTGTCAGCTGTTGACCTACCACAGTGAAGATACCACAGTAAATAGATCTAAGTATGTCGACTTCACCTACGTTATTCACATGGCTGAAGTTGCGACCTTAGATTGATGGCTCAGGGTAGTGTTTAGATCTATTTACTGTGGTATGTCGACTTCACCTACATTATTCACATGGCTGAAGTTGCTACCTTAGATTGATGGCTCAGGGTAGTGTAAACTAGGTCTAAGGTGAGCAACTGCAGAGCCACTGAAGGCCACAAGGGTTGCTTGGGAGACAAATGACTTTAAGGAGCCATGGAGCCAAGACTCCTTACGTCATGCAGAGTCTCTGGAAACTGTTTTGAGAGTCTTTCGGACACCAGCACAAACTGCCTAACAAGGAGTCGTTACTTTTACACTTAAAACATGCATGTTCTAAATAAACTGAACAAGTGAGCAACAACAGTCACTGGACAAGGAAGGCATGATTGAAACTCTGTGCTTTACTCAAATACATCAGACAAAAAAAAAAAAAAAAAACCAACACACAAAAACAAGTGAAGGATGAAGTGAAACAAAGCCTGACTATTAGGTAGCCAAGGACCATTATAACAAATGCACCCAGATAAATATCTAAAATATTGTGTGTCAAACATGCCCACCCTGGGTAGAAACATTAAGAGTGAAAAGGGGAAGCCAGACAAAGGGGAAAACACAAAGCTATGTAGGACAGAAATATCCAGAAGTGGCGAGCTTCCCCCACATGGATCTAGTGAGGAAATTAACAACAGCAAAAGCAGGGTGGGTGTAAAGAATAATGTGACTGAAAGCATCAGCAATAATACCAGGAGCATGGTACATCACACCATTGGACAGAGCACTGGCAGAATTTTATGAGCAAGGGGCTGAGTGTTGCTCAGCATAGGAAGCTTTACATAACCGACCTACTTAAAAAGCAACACGTTTGGGTAAAGTTGGTTAAAACAAAGCAAATCTTCCTCTTGTAAAAGGTATGTTAGCCATGTCCACTGATGGAACGATTACATCCCGTGAGAAGGGAACTAAAGCAAGCACTTGCAGATTCTCTCAGAAATAGACTGAGGAGTTATTCTGCCCTCCGCATCTCTTACCACAAGAGGAGCCACTTGTCAGTCATGCTTTTAACTGGTTCTAGCTGAGCCTGGGCTGTGCTCTCCTCAACTAGCTTGTTTGTTTCTGGTCCCAAGGAAATATTGCTCAGCCAAATAGGAATTGTGAACCTAACCACTCATTCCCTTCCTACTCCTCTCTAGAGAGATCTGACTCCAATATTTAAGCTCTGTCATTCTTGGGTAGCTAAGGACTGCAGTTGCTCCTGTTTCAGTAACCACATCAGAAGCACCAGACGGATGATCCACTCCCCAACCTCTGTGGTTGCAAGTCCTTGATGGATTTTTCGTCCTTCCCATGCCTGTATAACACAGTTACATTCCCACTATACGCTGCCCTTGGACCACACTTTTCCCACTGGAACTAATAGCAGCTTGAAGGCAGATGAGACACTGTTCAAGGCTCTTACAAACAATGTGGAGGGGCAATTTAACTGCAGCACCACCACTATGAGTCTTTGACAAGATCGTCCCTGCATCCAAGTGAGCCTGTTCTGAATAGGGCTTACAACAGTGTTTCTTAAAACGTTTTAAGACCGAGGAACACCAAACAATTTTTTTTTTAAATGAAGAACACCAAAAGTTTTTGGTCGAGGAGAGGAAAATAAATAAATAAATAACCCCATACCACCTTGCCCCTTGAACACCAGACGACACTTTTATTGATGACAATATTCGCTAACTGCCCAATGATAATTTAAGCATTTTTTGAAACGTGGAACATCTTTTTTAATCTAAGTATCCCAAACGTAACCTGTCAATCGCTATCCATTAAATAAAGAAAAAGTCCAACAAAGAAGGAACATTGTATCTGGCCCCCCCTCAGCTGTCCTGGGTAACAAGTGAGGGCTAAAGGCAGTGGTTCAAAGACCCGGTTGGGGTGGCGGCTGTAGGGCAGATCTCTCAGCTGGCAGGCAGGATTCCCAGACCAGCAGCGGAGACAGCCAATCACAGCTGGCCCTGCAATGCTACTCCTCTCTGGCAAGGGGTGCAAGCAACCGAGGTGCGGAGCTTTCCCAGGCAATTGCAAGCCAGGCGCAGAAGTACGTGAGGAGGAGCGCAGGTAGCCCCGCCTCATTTCCAGCCGCGTCACCGCTCGCTCACCTCTTCCACCCTGCACTCCACTCGCCGCGTCTCAGAGGGTCTAGCGGCCGTTATTTTTCCTCAGACGGTCGCGGCACACCTGAGTTCTCCACGCAACACAGTTTAAGAAACAAGGCCTTAGAGTAATCAGGATTTCAGCCCTAGGATGGTCCCCATTACAGTTCTTAACACTGAGATAAAGAGTTGCAGTGCTTCAGTCCTCTCCTCACTCTGCTTCACTGAAACCTGCATCTCTGAGCTCTCGGCCTCGAGCAGCAGTTCTGCGAGGAAGAGACAGCCAGACTCGTCCTGGGCACTGAGATAGGCTTTCCATGGCTGGGCACCAGCTTTGCTCAGAGCAATAGTCTGAATGTGGACGACCTGAAGTGCAGCCTGTATGGTATCTGGCTGAGCAGCTCCATGCCAGGGCAGAACCTGCTGGCAGCTCACATCTAGACTCAGCCAGGTCTTCTCAAATTCCTCTGCTGTCAAGTTCGCCCTGGGGATTAAAGTCAAGCCACCCACGTCCGAATGAACCTGAAGAACTTCCTTATTCCCGGCCAAAATCAGTGACTCTGAAATCAAATATGGGAACAGCGTGAGAAACGGCACTGGGCAATGCTGCCCATAGGAGCCCCAAGAGGGTCTGAGGGCCCTCTCAGCAACACAAACTGGGGAAGTGCAATGCCTCCAATATTCCACCAGGGGAGCAGACTGTGGACAGCCACGGTTAAGTGAAAGGCTCAGACCCAGCAACAGCCTTTTGTATGCAAGACTTCAGTGCAGAAACCTGGGATCCTCCCAGAGAGTCAAACCAAGGAAGATTTATCAATGGGGAAAGTAGTTTTCTAGTTAAGTATGTTACTACCTGTTCCTGCAGTCACGGGAGGAGCACAGGGAAAGCCTCTACAGTGAGGTTCTGTTGCCCAGTTAGCAGTGACAACAGTCCAACATGCTTTCCCATATACAGGCACCAATGTGTTAAACTCAGAAGCCCAGTTGTTCACAGGTTGCTCAGTCTGATCTGCCAGGAGCCCCAGGGAGGGCTCAGACTTGGGGCTGCACAGAACCCGCTTTGCTTCTTCTACACCAGCTTGTAAGAGACGATAGTAGAATAGCCCCCGATCTCGTACCACCATTTCAGTCTCTTCCTCTGGAAATACAAACACACACATTCACTCGGAGCATGCTGGCACTCAGATGGGACCTCAATGGGTAACCTTTACGCAGTGCATACGAACAGGCTCATGCCTGCTGTGACGTGGTGGGGGGCTGGACACTATTGTGGCCCTGGATCCAATCTGGTTGGGCATACACTAGCTGCTGTGTTGTGCTGGGTGAGACCTCCACTGACCTGTGCTGGTCTGCAGAGACCGTGTCTGTGTGGAGAGTGAGGGACCCAGCGGGGGATAGTCGCTCAGGAAAGGCACATAGACATGGGCCAGCCACCTGATACCTGGGCTGGGGGTGGAACCTGAAACAAAGCCAGGGGCGGGGCTGCCTGGGGGCTGAGGGACCAGTTGCTGGGGGTTGGGGCAGTCTTGGCGGAGGGAAGCAGACTAAGTCGAGGACAGGGGGGTTCAGGGGCCTGTGAACCCCTTTCCCCCCCCCCAAGAGGACTAGGCTGTTTGCCCTGACTCCTACGCCAACTTTGAGCTGTGCTGCGCTGTTGCTCTGAGAAGCAATAAACCTTCTATTCTACGGCCTGATAGTCACATCTGGCTGCGGACGGGGGATGCAGGGTCGGGGGCTCCCCGACGTGCCATCACACCTGTATTCTGGGAGTTGTCCATTTCCTCTACCACTTAGCCGAGCTGGGGCCAAACAGCAGCAGCAGCAAGGTGGTAAATGTTGTAAGATGAGGGTCCGCCTATCACAGACCTGGTGTGAGGCCTGAGGCCTAGACAACAATGGTCGAGGCTTTGCTAATATAAAGTGAAGTTAAGCAGTAAGCAAGAGGCAGGCCCTGCTCTCAGAACTTAGCAAGACCAGGGCTGATATTTAAGAAACACTCAAACCTAAGAGGTACCAGGCACATGCCATAAACCCCTCCATAGGGATGGCAACAGAACCCCGCATTAGGAAACATCTTGGTACCAATACACAAATAATGGGACTTTCGGGACAGGGTCTAAAATGACAATCTGATGGATAACAATGTTTTGAATGAATCGCCACGTACAAGGCAGTGGGTATACCTAGGCAGGTAAGAGGGTGGCACCCTGATACGTCAGGAATGGTGTGTAACAACTTGTTTCTATCTGTGTATGAAAATGCATCCTAGGGAAGTTGTCCTTGTCTGACTGAGCTGATCCACTGTAACAAGCATACATGCGTTAGTGGTCTGGTAGAGTCTGCTCGATTCTAGGATCATGCTTCCTTGACAATGAACATGGCCCTGATGCTTTCGGCCATTAGCTGATTTTGTGGTCTTGGGTGCTGTGCTGGCTCCCTGCAGATCCAGTGCGACATACGGGGGAGCACAAGCGTGCAGCTGAACGGTTATCTTTAGACAGAGCAAGATGCCTATTGTCAGGACACTACACCCAGTGACTTCTGACCACAATAAACAGGAGCAAGTTTCCCCTGCTTATTGACTAGTCAATGGAAATTCCATCAACTAGTTGATTAAACGCAATGTAACATCCCTAAGCAGGTGCCCAGACAAATTCAACTCAGGGCTGAGGTTTGAGTCTCAGCAAGAGGTACCCACCTATGCAGTAGTAGAGCAGTCGCCCAAGAATGTCCTGACATTCTGCAGGACGAAACAGGAAGAGTCGGACCAGAGCTGTCAGCAACTCCATCTTTACCACTGGGAACATCTCTGATTTCACATTCTCGACAAAGTCCTCCAAAACATAGGGTGCATTGGCAACTCTCTCCCCATGCACTCCCAGGAGCCAGATCAGCGCTTGCTTGCCCTGGGAAGACAAACACCATTACTGTATGCTCAGAGTCAAACCACTCCATGCTACGCTTCTCTGTGACCCAAAGACCTCTCGATGCCAACAGAGATTACAGGGGTACCTAGGAGTACAGGGAACCCTTGGCAGGTCAATCAAAGGTACTATGTCTTGAGCCAAACTTCTCCAGACAGGAGACATTTATTTTCCTGGCAGACCATTGTGTACTGTGGGCCTTACAACAGAAATTTAAGGTATTGAATCAAATGCTAAAGAGGAGGATTTGGAGACTTCAAAAGGAAATTAACAGCTGAAGGAAGGAGAGAAACCTGTTTTCAGGTTAAAATCAAAGGTCTTGTCTGGAATATCTGGGTTGAATCTTTGAAGCTGATGTGTACTGTTCCTGTGGGAGTAGCGAAGCTGAGTTCTGTGACCGCTCAGTGGAACAAGAGCTGGGCAGTCCAGAAGGATACTTGGAGGACTTGGCAGTTGGTACATGCCTTTTGCTAACCTATACACAGAGTTCAATGCCCGTGGACATCTGGATGGCAGACACTACTGCGGGAGGCTGGTGCAGCAGACACTAACAAAGCAGCTATGCAGCGCTGCTCTAAACCGCCAAGCAGCATGTGCTCACAGATTGTAAGGCCAGAATTTCCCAGCACCCCCATGGAGAGGCTCTTTTACAGCCTAGGAGCTCTCACCGTGCAGATGCTCTTGACATTCAGCTGAATTTGACTGCGAGGGATGGGACTTAACCGAACAAAGGCATACTCCCTCATCCCACCCCAAATGATTCCTCTCCCCTCCTTGGTGCTCCAATATCAGAGTTCTTGTGAACTTCCTCCCATTCAACAATAGAGCCAGGAGTGTAATGAGAGCTCGGCCCAGCTAGCGTATCCCACCCCTATCCCATGCCAGTCAGTGAACTGCATGCAGCCTCCCTACCTCACTGTCCTGCATGGTCTCCTCACAGCCGGGCAGAGCCTGGCACACAGCTTCAGTGCACTGAGGACACAGCCACACCAGGTCTCGGAAAGCCTGCACCACAGCTGCAGTGGAACAGTGTTTTCAGCATCTCAACAGCTTCTAAAATCACCACCCCAAGAGAATAATTTGCCACCTCACAGGTTTGACCAGTTCAGAGTGAGCCAGTCAGTGCAGCCCTTATTCATGCTACCTGGAGCCTGGCACACAGCTTCAGTGCACTGAGGACACAGCCACACCAGGTCTCGGAAAGCCTGCACCACAGCTGCAGTGGAACAGTGTTTTCAGCATCTCAACAGCTTCTAAAATCACCACCCCAAGAGAATAATTTGCCACCTCACAGGTTTGACCAGTTCAGAGTGAGCCAGTCAGTGCAGCCCTTATTCATGCTACCTGGAAACCCCCCCATCCCAAAGGATTTAAAGGCCAAAATTGCATCTTTGGCTGCAGCGAAGCCATCTCCCCCAGTGGTTCCCTGTTCTTGAGATGGCACAGCGTGTCTCGCAGCAAGTCACGGGCAGGTCCCATCTCTAGGGATGTAAAAAGTCTGTTAAAAAGGTAACCATGTGACCACCGACCAATCGAGTGGTTTCACAGTTACACACTCTGCAGGCTCTGCCACAGCTTCATTCAGCTTTATACTGCAGAGCCCACAGCGAAGCCTCCTTGGGCTGCCCTCTGTGCTCCCGCCACAGCCAAGTCCCTACCCCAGGAACAGAGCCAGCAAGAGCTGCCGGCCCCACTCCTGTGGAGGAGGTTTCACTACCAGCCCTGCTCCCAGGGTAGGGGGAGGATAGGGGTTACTCTGGCCAGCCTGAGCAGCCCTGGCCTGCGGTGGGCCCCTTGGGACTGGAGCAGCCCCCTGCCCAGGGCAGGCAGGGAGCTGCTTTGGCCTCTATAGTTAACTGGAACTGATAAGCATTACCCGTTCAGAGTGACGCTTACTGGTTAGCTGATTAAATCTTTCACCTCCCTACTCACCAGCACCCTACAACAACTGCTGCCAACTAAACATGCAAATATTGTCTGAAAGTTAATTCATTTTGTGATGGGGAAAAACTAAGATTTTGAAAGCCCATAGAAAGTGGAGCAAAATTATTCAAAGGAAAAAAGAGAGAAACAGTGAATGCTGTTAGTTCTGAGAGGAAAACCAGAGAGCAGAGTCTACTGGAAGCTGAGTCAGTTACATCAATGGCTGAGATTATAAAGGGGCAGAGACCCAAGTGGCCAGTGGAGAACAATTACCAGGTCAGAGCTTTCAATCAACTTGACTTTCATAAAAGAGCCACTGAGAAGGTATTGGTACACTCACTCCCTGAGCCAGGGCTGGCCCACAACATTTTGGTACCTGAGGCAGGGAGCTGAAATGACACCCCCTTGCTTGGTCCAAAACTTTGAAAGGTCTCAATTTTGCTTTCTTCCTGTTCTACTCCTCTCATGGGACTGCTCCGCTACCCACCCCAATAAAGGAGAACTAACAAGTTAAAATGCCTTGTTCAAAAAGCGTGAACTAGTGGCATCTCCCCCACCCCAGTCTGGCACCTGAGGCAGTCGCCTCAGTGCACCTCATGGTAAGGCCAGCCCTGCCCTGCCCTGAGCTAGCGCAATCAATCCGTATTTCACTGTGGAAGGAGCCATGGCCAGTCCCCACTTAAGCACAAGGATGGGAGAAGTTACAAAGTCCATAGAAGGAAGCCTTTAGCTGAAGATACTAACCAGGTTACTAGCCACACTGAATGATCATCTTGTAGTCACCTGGACAGGGCTTTCCCAAATCCCAACCCACAGCCACCTGCCTGTTCCAGAGCTGGACGTTCTGGCTAGTTCCTCAAAGTGTGAAGCAAGCAAACCCAGCCAGCAACAAATCCTTACCTGAAATGATATGTTCTTGCTTAAGCCCTAGGAGCTCTGTTAGAATCCTCACACACTGCTCTGTGTACGTCCTGGCAATGCTGCCTGAGGAGGCACCAAGGGACACAAGTTAAGCTCTCGTTAGACACAGACAGTGCACCTACACGATCTACCACAAAGTCTCATTAGTAATATTCTCACTTGTCTGGAAACACTTGTTAGCCTGCTAGTATGGCAGAAGAACAATCTACCACTCACTACAGCCACCAAAATCCTCAAGAGAATCCTCTAGTTCCCTCAGCACAAACACAAACGTGAGGAAGACTTGTACACCCAAGGGAACAATCCACTTTACAAATAAAAACAGATTTTCAATACAATTTTAGGGACCCTTAAGCATCTTAACTGCCCCCATAGCACTACTGAGAAATGTAGAGCCCACCCACCCATTCCACAGGTTCATTATGATCCCATGTTCTCATGCTCACAAGATGAGCCTATTGGGTGGGCGGCTAAAAGCACCTCTTGGGCATATCAGCTTTTATTGCGAGCCCAGCCAAGCCTGCTGGAAGCCTACGGCTTGCAAGCAACTTAGCGCGCCTGAGGCACCAGCCCCGGCAGAGCAATTCTGAAATGCTCATGTAGATCTCTCTGGGGATCTGGCGCAGCGGGGGGGGGTGGCACATCAGCACGGCTCTCATCACTGGCCAGGGCTTGTTTCAGTGGAAAAAGCCTGTTGGAGAGATTTCCAAGTTGTGCCCCTGCCCTGGCTGTTTCTGAAGCAAAAGCAGAGCTTTTACCTATGGAGAAGATGGCTGCCTGGGCAAGCTCAGCCGACACGTCAGTGCAGTAACTCTTCAGCTCCTCCAGCACCTGCTGCACATTCTCATCGTTCACCAGCTCACAAAGCACTTGCATCTTCTGGCATTTGATGTAGTGGGGCTCAGAGTAGGAACAGAAAAACTTCTTGTAATGGCTGCTGAAGTGGCCAGGCAGGCTGCCCAGGATCTGGCGCACATGACACAGGGCAGTGAAGCAGAGCTCCCGGCTCTCAGAGGTGCAGGCAGCCAGCAGCGGCCCCTTCACTCTAATCAGCACATCTATCTGTACCTGTGGGAAGTCCTTGGCCAGCACCAGGAAGAGTTTGGTAGCTGCCATCACAACACTGGGACTGCTGCTCTTGAGGTATTCATCTAGTAAGCTGAGGATGTCAAAAAGTTCTTCCTCACTGCGGGGTTTGTAGCGCAGCAGGAAGGCCAGCACCTCACTCTGTCCCCACTGGTCTAAGTCAGACATTCTGCCAAAAAAGTAGCATCTACAGTCAGCAGTTTACAAGAGATGTAGAATTACACAGGGATCACTTCAGGACAGAGCCTGCAGCTGTTGCAGGTTGTATGGTTCCAGTACACCCACTCAACAGTGTCTCTCGAGGGAACCAATCAGTTCACATGCACACTGATACTGAACTCTTCTCGGGCACTCAGACCTACCCTCAAGCTCTAAAGCAGAGAAACACTAAGGTGGTGGATGGCTAGAAGCAAAAGGAAAAAGGTGCCACTCCCTAAGGATGTTAAAGTTAGTTTAATCAACTAATCGATGCCAGCTCTTGCTACATTACAAAGTGCTGGGAGGAGCACAACCAGCAAGGGATTCAAGCAGTCCGCCGCTAGCCCAGGGCTCCCTGCTTTTGAAATGTACAAGAGCCAAGAAGGCTCTTGTACATTTCAAAAGTAAAGCACTGGGCTTGCAGGGGCAACAGGAGACTCCTTGCTGGCGCCATGCTTTGCTTTTGAAATGTACAAAAGCCCCCACCAGCTCTCGTAAATTTCAAAAGCTGGGAGTGCAGGGGTTAGCAGGAGACTGCTTGAGTCCACAGCTCACCCCAGGTTTCCCGCTGCCAGTTCCCTGCTGCGCTCCTGCCCCTTCTCCCCACAGAGACTGTGCTGGGGGAACTAGCTTTTAAGCTAACTTCCTCCAGCACCAGTTCTTGCCCCTCCTTGCTGCCTCTCTCTGATAGAGGTAGTGGGAGGTGGGGGAAGCAAATAGTCAAGTCACTAGTCAACTGTCCGATAAGCAAGTGCACTTGCTTATCAGATAGTCGACTAGTCTCTTACATCCCTACCACTCCCTTGAGCAAACCAACCCATATCTGTCTGAAGAGAAGCTGATTCCTTCAGACACCATCCCTGACGCATTACATATATTGGGATGTAGTGGGACAGACAGGCTAGAACAGCTGGTCCTACACTGATGTGCCCAAGCTTTGTCAGAGAAGAAAGAAGCCTTACATAAGCTATGATACAACTTGTAATTCTAAATGAACCAACAGGTGGTTCCATACTTCTCCAGGACTCTTGGAAACTCTGACTGGTTCAGTGTGTCACTGGGAAGGCCTCAGATTTCACATGCAACAGCGAGATTTATCTGGCACTCTCCTGTAATTGGGCTGGGGGACACACCTTACACTACTGGAGTTTGTTTCCAAAGCCTCCTCTCAGCTCTGCCAGTAGCTGAGACATCTGCTCTGCTGACACACAGAATACATGGGGAGCTCACTAGAATGAAGCTTTCAGCTCCACACACACAGAACAGACCTTTTGAGAAGGTGGTGGGCGATGGGCTTGTTGATGACAACTCCTCCTTCCCGCCTCAGAATCTCTTCTAGAGCCCTCAGACAATTTACCACTACAATGGGATCCTGGTCCCGAAGCAAACTGTATAGCTCGTTCACCAGCACGCCATCTGCAGAAACACAAAGGCACTTAGATCATTAGAAACCGCAAAGGCACTGCATCCATTCAGGCAAGATAGCCACTGTCCTTGAACTGCCTCAGACATATGGGAACCTTGACACATGGCACGGGAGGGAAGAATTGTTACAAGCAAACGACAAACATCCTCAACTTTCCAGTAAGAGAGTGTGACATAGTCTAGACAGGTCTTGCAGTCAGGTGCTGGAGGAAAAGGCTCCCAAATGGCACAGAAAAAAGAAGCAGGAAAGGAAGCTCCAGCCCAGCAGGGAAGCAGATATGAAAGGAATAAATCTCACCCTGCTACAACTCAAAGGCCTAAAGCAGACCCCATTGGGATTCTGCCTCATGTTCACAAGCTGGCTGCCTCCCACCCCGGGAGAGCCAAAAGCCAACACGCAGCTCAATGAATCCAGGCCAGACAGGTGCCTTGTCTCTAACTAGCTATATCTAAAACAAAATACAGGACTGTGTAGCACTTTAAAGACTAACAAGATGGTTTATTAGATGATGAGCTTTCGTGGGCCAGACCCACTTCCTCAGATCAAATCCTGTATTTTGTTTCAGCTATACCAGACTAACATGGCTACATTTCTATCACTAGCTAGATCTAAGTGAGCTGTATGTACCTCATCTAGTTCAGAAGCATAACCCTCCTCTCCCCCAGCGCAAGCGGTAGAATAAAGGGTGACCATGAAGTACTTACCCACTTCAGCGTCACCTTGGAGTTTCTGCATCTTCGCAGCGCCAAGCACAGCTACTCTCCTCACATAGGAGGCTTTGTCTCGCAGGCCATTGAGAATAGGCTGCTGGATGTACTCTTGTATGCCAGGCATCCTATGAATAAGGATTCATCCAAAATCCATCAAGATACAGTAGGAGCTTCCCCCATCTAGAGCAGCCACTACTACAAACCAAAGGCTTTCCTTACTATTCTCTTTTGAAAATTCCCCTAAAAAAGGTAGCCATTACCCATTCTGTGCACATCGTATCATGTGCATAAAGAAAACATTTAAGACTTCAGGTATCTAAAAGCGTGTCACAGGGAGGATGGGGGGGCGGTGAGAATTGTTCTCCTTGGCCTCTGAGGAGAGAACAAGAAGCAATAGACTTAAACTGCAGCAAGGGAGGTTTAGGTTGGACATTAGGAAAAACTTTCTAACCGTCAGGGTAGTCAAACACTGGAATAAGTTGCCTAGGGAGGTTGTGGAATCTCCATCTCTGGAGATATTTAAAAGCAGGTGAGACAGACACCTGTCAGGGATGATATAGACTGTGTTTGGTCTTGCCACGAGGGCAAGGGACTGGACTTGCTGATCTCTTGAGGTCCCTTCCAGTTCTAGTACTCTATGATTCTAAGACATTTCTATCATTTTTGAAGTCCTGAGTCCCCTATCCTCTCTCTATTTAGAAATACCAGGCATTGTTATTCACAGGGCTCGACAAATCCGTTTATCTACTCGCCTGCGGCAAGTAGATTTCAGCCGGTCACCCCGTTCACCAGCAGTGCACGCATGCACGGTGCGGGGCTGGCGAGTGGATTTTGCCGCGGTTTGTTGAGCCCTGGTTATTCAGATAAATGCATTATAAAGCCAGAAGGGATCATTAGAGCCCTGCATGGACACAAAATTTTGTATCCACAGCCTCATCTATATCTGCAAAAATGAGCTACAAATATCCATATCCACAGATGTGGATACCCACAGATAAAAAGTGGATAACCCCAAATTTGCATGGTTCTAGACACAAAATCATCATCTGCAGGTGCAAAAATGAGTAATGAGTATCTGTATCCATATCCATAGATGTGGATACAAGCACCTATAAAGCTGATATCCATGGATCTGCAGGGCTCTTGGGATCATCACTGTGATCGTCTGGTCTGACACCGCATACCACAGGCCATAGACCTGGGGTGGGGTCACACTCAAATGAAAAGCAGAAAAAAAAACCTCACTTTGGCCCCTGACTGAGAAGGAGAAAGACATTCTCCACATTCCCCTTGCATACCAGAGCCTAGGAGGGCCCAGCCTAGTAGATTTTGTGTGTTCCAGCCCCCAGGGGAGCAGAAGCAGGGCTAGAGCACCAGCATGGGCTTCCAAATGCTGGGGGAGGAGGGCCCTGAGCCTCAGGGGCCAGATCCAGGCAAACTGAGGGCAACATCCAACCCCAGGGCCTAAGGTTCCCCACCCGTCATAGAAGGACCCTATCTTAATTTCTATGTGGTCCACAGAATATCTAGGAACACATGCACTTTTGATTTAAAATTTGCTAGTGCAGAATCCATCACAACCTATGGCAAACTGTCTCAATTGTGAATTGCCCTCAATGTTAGGAACGTGCCCCTTCTTTCTAGTCTGAACTGGTCAAGCTTTCTTTAGCTTCTGATATCTCTGGGCACTAAACTGAAGATCCTATCACCAAATCTTGGTTTCCAGGGTAGACATTTAAAGTTTGTGATCAAGTCACCCCATTTCTTTAAATTAATTCAAGGCGCTCAGTGTAAGAGGAGAGTGATTTCCAACCTATTTACCATTGCTGTCAGCCTAGCCCATGGGTCACACCCTTGTGCTGACTGGGCCAGAAGCAGGCCCAGGGCTGCACGCTTGAGAACTGCTGCTCTCAGACAGGTTGTCCAAACCTTTAGTCCCTTTTGGGACTTGTCCATGAATCAGCACCCCTCCGGAATGACCAATGCCAAGGGCGGCACAGCCTTCCGGCAGCAGGCGGAGCGGCGCGGCGCGCCCGGCCCGGCCCTACCTGAGGTTGCAGAGGCTGCGCAGGGCGAGGCCCCGCAGCACGGGGCTGGGGTCGGAGCAGTCCTTGCGCAGGGTGTTGATGGCCAGCAGCAGGAGGCCGGGCTGGCGCG